GACCATGAAAGTAGTCTACGGCTCCTATGCCAAGGGGACCTTGTGATTGTTAATCCAGGATGCAGCAAACCTCCTGAGGGAGAAGCCACAGATCCTGGAGCGCTGGGCCACGCCTTTCCAGGACGTCATCAGTCACTCGTATTTCATCTGCGAGAAAGTCATCAACAGACTCCCTCAACTGGATACCAATGACGATCTCGATCCACCGCCTTTCCTCCCTGAGACAATTAGAGGAATGCAATAGTTGTAAACTGGGAAAACGCCGAGAGCTGACGCAAGTTCACCCGAACTCTTGCATAAACTTACCTCGGTTTTTAAAGTGTGGCGGCAAGGATGCATCGCCAGGCTCCAAGGCAGCTGCCATCGTGCGCATCTGAAAGAGGCAAAGGAACCATCAACTTTGTGTTAACCACAGAAACATCTTTCTTCTCAATAACGCAGATAAAAGCTTCGTTTGTGTTTTACTGAATCACCTGAAAAAGCACGTACATTATGGACTCCTTTCTGAAACGCGGTGTGGATTTTGAAAGCGCCGCGGAACATCAGACTTAAGCTTTGTGATCCGCCAATTATAGGAAAAATATCGGGAAATAAAAACCAGCCTCCGCGTCATCTCTGTCGATCTGTCAAAGGCCTTCGACACGGTGAATCACGATAGACTCCGAAGAATCATTTCGAAGTTCAGGGGTCCTGCGCAATCCACACAAACGGCGAGAAAACGGCACTATTAGATGATGACGAGCGAACCGGATGACGGGTCAGGCTGGGAAACGTTTAAGGCGACCGATATGGTTAAGCAGTGTTGCGTACCCATTTCCATTTTATTCAGTCTTCTGCTCTCTGCTACTTTGATGAGCAGTCACCTTGAGGAGCTACCTGGGATCAATATTATCTGTAGGGCCGACTGACAGCGGTTATACACCCGGCGCACGCCGGAATCTTTGATGGAATCTAAGACCAGTAACTATTATCTGTTGTTAGCGGATGACTCCGTGCTAAACGCCACAACGGAGGAGGACGTGTAGTAAAGTGTGTTTTTTCTCCTCTGGCTGTCCCAAATTTGGACTGGTTATGACCAAGAAGCAAACAATGGTCATGCATCAACCGATGCCCAATTTTGACTACACTGCATCCTCTATCAATGTCAGTGGAGAGATTCGTGTACTTTGTGGGGAAGAATTTAAATAAACACCAAGATGAACGACAAGATTGCAAGTCGGGGGCCCAAAAGCAGTCAGGCATTCGACTGACAAGAGCGCTCCACATAGAAACATCGTGAAATCCTACTCCACACAAAACTGATGATTAGAAGGATGTTATCTTGATAACGCTCTTGTGCGGAGCAGAGACATGGACTGTTTATGAAGGTCAAGCAAGAAGACTCACTCATTTTTCCCTAAGCCGTCCCTAAAGGATATTGATAACAAGGTGGCAAGAAATAGCTCCGAGAATGGCGCACTAAAACGAACCGCTACCTTCACTATCTACAACATGCTGAGACAGATATAACTGTAATGGAGTGACCAAACAATGAAAATGGACGACATGCGCCTTTTTAAGCGGCCTCGGGTAACCAGCCAGACGCAATAGCTGAAATTAAAATTAAAGGAGGTTAACAGGAAAGAAAGACTGTGGAAGAAGTTCTGGAGAAGCCACGAACGTACACCCTTTGAAAATAAGACGTCCAGAGGGATAAGGCTAAAGGCTGATTTTTCAAAATATGGCGGAATCCTGAGAGAATTTTGCTCCATCGAGACGTCAGAGATCCTTAATTGCTCAAAAGCAGTTTGCAAAGGAACATATAAGACGTGAACCTGATGCATCTTTGGAAGAGCAACGAGATGCTCGAGAGATCGGACAGTACGAACAAAAATGGGCATTTATCTGGTTCTCCCAGCTAATTTTTGCAGAACAAGCGGTCTCCATTTCACTTAGTTACGAGAACATGGGTGTGTCAACTGTTGAGAATCCTCTGTCTAGAAAAGAAGCGAGTCTTAAAAAATTGTAAAGCTTGAGGGAATGAAAATCTCCCCATCAGGACGAGATTCAGGCAAAATAGCTTTTAAAATTTCCCGGGGACAGACAAAAAAATTAGCCGTCTTGTGTTTGAAATCATTTGATACTGGAATTCGTCCCACGGATTAGAATGCAGTACACATTAAACTCATTCACAAAAAGCGGTAGTCGTGCACATGAGGCCAGCTACATACCCTGGAGTCTGATATCAGTCTGCTTCAAAGTCACGGAGAAGACCATTAGAAAGGTTGCGAAAATCCCCATAACTATGTTCAGAAGAGACAGTGGCGAGCGAACGTTCCTTTCGGTCAGGCATATGACTGACAAGAGCACTCCACATAGAAACATAGTGAAATCCTACTCAACACAAAACTGATGATTAGAAGGATGTTATCTTAATGAGATATTCAGGAACCGACAGTCTCTAGCCCAATAACCAAATTAGATTTCGTAAGGGAAGGTCGTGTTTAACAAACTTGTTTTACATGATGTAAAGCCGGACGAGAACTCCCAACGGAAAACACCCCAAATGTCGCCCATGTTAATTTCAGGAGGGCCTTTGATAGCGCTTTGCACTAGGTTCTCCTGTGCAAGTTGAGAGTAATGGGTATGAGAGGCGAAATTCCTTAGTTTATCGATTTTTTTCGTCGGTCTTTCCTAAGTTGTCTGTGTGGAATAGAAGCAAGCAAGGAGGACACTCCTAGAGATTAGATTTCACAAGGTTCAGTGCTGGGATCGACCCTACTTCTTATGATTATTAATGGCTGTGTACAAGAATTGAATTGTCAGTGCGCCACGCTTACGGATGATAGAAGAGTCGTCAAAATCATTCACTGTTGCCGACAAAGAAAACCTCTAAGGAAAGCATTATGGAACGGAAGAGGGGTCTCGCAGACGGGTCCTGTCCATAAACCATGGTCTGTGATATGTGGACCCACCAGCTAAAAGGGCTACTACACTGAGAATCCAAAGCACAGGAGTATCTCTGCGTTTGGACTACAAACACTCCAAATCCTTCCATGCACGTCAGCAGAAGATATGACCATTGGAACAAGAAGTTCATTTAACCGACGTCTTGGATTCTCCCCCGAACACACCATCAGAGGTAGTCGAATATAAGTGTACTGAGGGCACAAGGAGTGCAGTATTTATAGTACGTTGCTTCCGTGGGACCTCATGCGTACTATAATAAGCAGCTCACGTGGTCACTGCTGGGGGTCATAACTGGTGCGATGACGACTTTTTAGTCCGCGTCTGAGTCGTTATTTGTCGAGATTTCATCATCCGTGCTGGATGTTTACATGACGATTGCTCGGCAATGTAGCCCGCTGCCACCGGAATTGGTGCCCATTCACCCAATCCCTCACGTGACTGATTTCTCTGTCCAGGGAAATTTTCAGCACACAATATGGTAACGGTAGGTAATTCGCTTGTTGACGGACTGCAGGCCCACGAATCATGACTCGAGCAGCTCGCGGCTCTTGCGGTTGTCATCTCTTGCAAAGCTTTCGGCTTCTTAAAACTAGAAAGTATGGCCGGGTCCCGTCAGATGAATCGCCATTTGAGGATTCGCGTCTCTCATCCTCACTGCCGCTGAATGTCCGACCATTCACGTCCGGAGTAATCTCCCAGTTTCTCCGACGTAGATGTTCTGTCTGTAACTACGTCATGTCCAGTAAACGACTCCAGACGTTTCCTGTCGTGGCTTTAGGTCTTTTGACCTCATAACCTGGCTTCGCAAACACCGTCAGAAGACTGATTAAGAGAAAACATGGGACTGCGAGTTCATGGACAATAGCGGTGTGAAACTGCTTTAGTCGAGTGTGGCCGAGCGAGCACGTGAGATAGCTACACGCGGACGGCACCAAAGAATAAATTTTATAAGCAGCCTGTTTCAATGTTATCTAAAACGGGATAACTGATGCGCAATTTGGTGTCAAAGGAGCTGGCGGGAAACAAGTGCAGCTATTGTAGCACATCTAATGTCTAACGCTGAGTTTATTCGGTGAGGAAGAACAAGAACCGCCAGGCCGACCGCCAGACAAAGGTTCGATCAGCTCCCCTCGACGGAGTGGTGATTCCCAGAGCACGCAGGCAAAACGCCCGTCAGCCATCTCCAGAGAGGCCGAGGCAACGAGATAACAGAAAAATCGATCAAAATGAGGCCGACAAACACAACATGCCACTTTAAATTAAATTTTTGATCGATTAAGTGCATTTTACGCTTTGACAATGGAGGGCCGACCAAGCTCTTTGAAACGCCAGCATTTAAATAAATCTGTGTCGGAGGGCTTATTTTCTTCTTCTTTTCCTTTTCCTTCTTCTTTTTCTTCTTCTTCTTCTTCTTCTTCTTCTTCTTCTTCTTCCTCTTCCTCTTCTTCTTCTTCTTCTTCTTCTTCTTCTTCTTCTTCTTCTTCTTCTTCTTCTTCTTCTTCTTCTTCTTCTTCTTCTTCTTCTTCTTCCTCCTCTTCTTCTCCTCCTCCTCCTCCTCCTCCTCCTCCTCCTCCTTCTTCTTGTTCTTGTTCTTCTTCTTCTTCTTCTTCTTCTTCTTCTTCAAATAATCAACCCGTATCTCTCAAATTTGCCAATCTGAAGTAATAACAATGATCACATCTCCCCCTGAATTGCTTCCTGGAACTCGCCTGTTCGCTTCTATCGGCCCTCTACACACTCTTGCAATGCGCCTAAAGTCTCGACTGCAATGATGTATGCCTTTAGCGGCACTCGCCGTTTTTCGATGAAGATTTCTTCTCCAGGGTTTTTTGCACCTTTGTAAAGCTGCATCTCCAATATGCGATCCAAACCCGGAGATCCTAGGCCCAGCATAATCATAACCTACTTTAAAAAGTGTCGTAATAAACCACAAAATTAGCAAGAGGTCAAGATGCACGATCAAAGTAGACCCGCCTAACAAACTGAAACCTCCGTTCTCTGAGTTTTAGGTAGTTGTGCAGGAAGTTGATACACATGCTCCGTATCATGTGTGGTTTGGACTGCGCCCTCCAATATGGAGACTTCATCAACCTCGCAACTACAGTCAACCTTCCCTCCAAAGTACGCGTGCCCCAAGGAAGACTGGACATGAAAAGTTTTTTTCACAAAATTTGTGGTGGAACCATGGATCAACCTGTACGAGGCGACTGCAGTATCTAAGACTTTGGCGATATTTGAACATGACTCTGACATACCCCTGATACAGCACCAAGCGGACTGCATGACTACCTATGCGAAATTGAGTCTGCTTCCATCTGACACTGTAATACTCTTATACTGTCGCTAGTTCTTCTGACGTGTATACGATAAACAAATGAGGAGTTTAGATGCATGAGCCTATTTCCCCCAAATACACTGAATTAAAACAAAAAAGTCGTGCCCGACACTAAGTACTCGACCCACTCGAAAAGGTCCCTTGGAGATAACAGCACCTGGCGTTCACTTCAGTGCTATAGAGCTTTTCCTATAAATTTTGTATTGACTATTTTATCGTCACATAGAGTACTTGAAGGTGAAGTAGGTCACATTTGAAAACACATTTACTTGATTTTCCCCAAAAGTATTTTCTGTGCATTGTACCCCTTGATGACTGACTTATTTGGGGCTGATTGGTGTTGCCTCTGCATCGATTTGCAGTTGTCAGTGTCGAAGCACAGCAAGCCGTATCATGCTGGGCGACTAACTGAGAATGCCTGCTCGGGTTCTAAACCATGTTGTTGCATAACATCCGCACATGAAACAGTGAAAACGTTCCTGTGTTTTATCTTTAGTTTAGGGAATGGCCTCTTACACTAAATATAGCCCAAAAACTTCTGATATATGTGACGCTGGATGTGACCGTATTGATGACATTGACGCCCATAGCACCAGTGACCAACCGCATGAAAAATCTTCTAGCATTTTAGGATTCGGGTAGACTGGACAGGGCCAGACTGTAGTTCCCCTTGTGGACTTTGTTATACACTCCTTGTTTGTTGCTCTTTGCCTTGGTTTTTCTTGCACGTCGTATGGGTTCTAATGGATTACTGTTTCTGTCAGTGTTTCTTGTTTTTCTTGAGGTTATTGATCGGCAGCTGGTAATCGTCTCTGCTCCTTGCTGTGATTTATTAGCAAAATGTTACGCTGTTTTTATTTCCCGTTTGTATTTTTCCCTTTTCAATATTATAGGTAGATACACCTTACCTGCACTCTAGAATCCCGAATATTGGGACGTGAGGGACATATAGCCGATAAGCAGTTTGTTTTCCGCCCGCGAAAGGTCCGCCGAGACAGCGCTCCGCATTTTTGGGCAAATGATCTGCCACCCTGTAATACTGCCGGCATTGTCGAAGTGCTTACGGACAACTGTACATCCAATAAACCTATATTTACAACGGCCTTTTGGATCATCTACCACCGTAGATTCAACTCCGAATATCCAGACCGATGGGGCCAACTCAAAGTCAGATTCTAAAGACGGTGCATGGTCTGGAAGGAATGCATGGAAACTAGGTTTCCTCGGCATAACATGCACCGCCGCCTTCGGATTTGGCACGCTAGTAGCGCTCTGGGGTATGTCTTTTTATCGTTAAGGCGCAACTGCTAGGACCTCCTGGGAGAGATGAAAAGGGTGCGGAGGTGAGTTATTCCTTTTCTTCACCTTTTTATTGTTTAGATTCCTGATGAATTCAGTAAAAGTAAGGTCACCCGCCGAAGTTTTCATATCTTTAGTGCATCCGGCTAAGGGCTACATCTGCAGAGCTTGGCGGACGCTATGGGACTTCAACCAAGTAATTGGTCATTCGATATGCTTTCGCTGTTTAGAGCATTCGTGATCCTGTTAGTGAGAAGCTTCTTCCCGACCCAGTTCAACCGCCATATTATCAGCCACCTTATACACTGGTCATCGAACTAAATGATGTACTTGTACACCCGGATTGGAGGGTAGGCACAAACCGTCTTTTATCGTACTGCTTAGTTTCGCAGTGGCTGGCGCTTCAAAAAACGTCCAGCTCTGGAGTTATTTTTGCAGCAGCTTTCACCATTTTACGAAGTCGTGACGTTTACAAACGAATCAGCTATGGTGAGTTGTTGTTCCCGCATTTTATTATTCACGACACGGTTTCATTTGTCCCACCGAATCCGGACTTGTCGCATCTCGAGAGCGTACTTCTCATGTGAATTTAGACAGCAATTTCGCTTTAACCGTCCTGAGTGGTTCCCATTACTTAATTTTTGATCTCAAGGAATTACTACCTATTGGGGTATAGCATGTACCCGTCCCACTTCAGTAATTTCGGGTGTATCGTTTGCCTGTACCATCAGCACGTTCTGAAATGACCCGAGTGTCATGTTCAAAGCTATCGCATTTAACTTTACGACACGGCACAAATTATCCGGTCTTAAACTAATTTTACTTTTATTCTAGACCGGCATGCCGATTTTGGCCCAGTTAGACCCGCAAGCCCAGTACATACATTACAGGCTCTTCCGTGAGGCCACCAGATACCGCAATGGAAAGCATATCAAAGACCTCTCATGTCTCAACCGTGATCTATCCCGTGTTATCCTCGTTGACTGGAACCCAGACGCAGCGACCTTGCAGCCCAGAAACGCTTTCATCGTGAATCGTTGGACTGGGAATGATTCGGATAGGGAGCTTATTGATCTGGCAGCTTTCTTGAGAAGTAAGTTTCAATATTGAAAATGACAAACGAGGGCTGACAAATAGGCACCTCTAAGCATTCCTAGACCGTCTTTGTTGGTTTTAGTAGTATGCTGGGTCCATATCAACCTAAGGCCTTCTTTTTAATGACTCAGAAACTACCCTTCTCTACTCATATGTGTAAGGGATACCATAGTGATAAACGTACCTGCGGACGCGATTGAAGTGACATACTTCCTCACATATACAGCTAGCCGTCTCATACGTGTTCAGCCCACCAATTATTTTATCCCTGACCGGAAACTTATTTGGTTGAATCTGAGCCAGCAGGAGAGGACCCAGGGCGCTGATCGAGGGCGTAAGTTTCGAAGTATCAGCTCGATCATGCTATCCAAATGGGTATGCTACCGGCCACAATTAACGTTTGTTGCATCATTTCAGTTATCACGAGCCCTTGTCAATCTATTTGCCCCATACTTGCGCCTAATGGTCTCTACACACTATTGTCTTGAATCTGCATTTATGACACTTGGGGCCTTTTCGTCCTGTCTTGAAATTTTGAAATTAAACTAAATGCTGACGTAGATGTCGATGTGGTATCTAGGAATTTATGTACTGGTCCACTCTATCTGGCTAGCAGTCTTTTCATCACACCTATCTACACCTATCGTTGATTTTATTCCGATTTCTTACCGAGGAATAGACTGATGGGCAGGTTTTCCGACATAATCTTTGTCACAACGACGAGGTTGTCCAAGCTAAAGGTTTTGAATTAAGAACATTCAGCTCATGAAAGTACGTTTATTACCCAGACAAGGTAACTCTGTTTCTATCTCAGATACAGTTAGCGAAGCGCATACTTTTTCTAGTTGAGAAGCCCTACATGAAAGCATTGTTCAGTTAGAGAACCAAATCTTCCCGACAAATTCTATCCTACGCCTGAGGATTTTAGCGTCTGAGATAAGATCTGACCCTTTCGAACCACATGGACATCGTACTAATGGTATTTGGCATTTAGTTGCACGTCTCACCACATTTATTATAAGAAACGTTCCTATTTTTCGCATGTTATCCTTTGGTACTTTTGGTTGACAGTTTGACGCCAAAAATCGTTCACTAAATTGTTCAAAATATTGTGAAAATACCGGAAACTTCGCAGTTTGACCGTCGTTGCCGACGATGTTCACTGTGTGTCCCACAGCAAGGCGAAGTAGGCACGGTGACATACGCGTGAATTAGTTTGTTAGTGCACACTTGCGCAGCATCTACCGCGCTCCCTCCTTCCCCA